ACATATTGCTTTTAGCATCATCACACTCAATTGCGTTGTTCTAACTTTAATTTCCATCTCTAAGTGCATGCCTTTCGTGTCCTTTAAGGCTAATTGCTCACTAATATATGCTGCTTTTAGATAAAGTAGAATATAATGATGTGTATATGTTATTTATTTTTCTATTTTAACGAATTCTCTCAATAAAAATACTAACATTTAATAAATGATAGTCGAAAAAGGGAAGGGCAAGAAAAACAATTGGACATGTTGATGATTACATGCACGAGCATGGAGAAGATTTTAAGAATTGTTCTAAGGGTAAACTCACCAGTCAGCATATTACACTTAGCGGTCGTGTTCAAGAATTTTTATTTTCTGCTAAATGCGTTTAAGAATATATGACTCACGCAATGATAAAGAATATAATTTCTATTTAAAATTAGCTTAAGGGCGGAGCAATATCAAGGAACATAGTAACATACGTTGAACGAAACCTATAAAAATCAACCGGACAACTAGAAACGTTCAGAAGCCGACCGTAATAAGTGTGACATTGATGGTCTTGTGGCGTCAAGCCGTTGGCGCTCTAGTGTGCTTGGTGCGAGTGGAGGTCTTTAGCTCGGGTCTTAGTCTCGTCTTCTTTCTTCTTGGTGTTTAGATTTTGATATTTTCTGCTACTAGTACTCTTTGTAACTGCTGTCAAAATCTTAAAATTTTGGTATAAAATTTAACACTTGCACCAAAAAGACTAAAAACTTTCTTGGCTAAATTTCATTTTCAGACTTTTAAGTAGATAATTAATGATGTTTCTTTTACGTCGATATAATGCACTCTTCTGTCGCTAAAATGATATAATTAGAAAAAAAACTTCAATGTATAAATTTATTCTGGCTGTCTCCATATAACTTAAATTGTGTGAAAATCATCAGGACTCAGTAAATTTGAGTAGTATAAACTAGAGAGACTCGTTTTTTTTATTGACTCGTTTTTCTCTACAGTCATTAAATGAAAACGATCCCTAATCAATGATCATGTATTTATTAGAGAATGATACCACGACGTAACTATATAGAGCAAATCATTTATTATACCATTGTAAGGTAAGAAACCTTGAACTATTATTTATTTGTTTTCTAACTTGAGGTTGGAGTGTTGTTGCTGTCAGAAGCTCTGTTACATAGAATTGGAAGCAGATAGTGTGGAAGCGTAGAAGTAAAATGTTTAAAAAATCTAGGAAACAGGTACATTTTTGAAAGCATATCTCCATATATATATATATATATGTGTGTGTGTATATTAAAATATAAAATTTATGGCTAAAATTATATGATTCAAACTAAAAGTAAAATCACTAATCCATTTATCTGATTTCATATTATAGTTGTGAAAATACTAACAATTTAAGTTTATTTTTCAGTTAACCAAATTAATTATTTTTAGTATCTAAAAATAATCGTCACAATCTATTGAATATATATGTAATATCTCTTATAAAAAACTAAGTGTATGAAGATAATTATAGTATTAGTTTTAGTATTTGCATATATTATGTTTTCTCTATTTTATTTCTATTAATTTTAGATGTTATATAGAACATAATTTATATTTTTAATTACTTTTATCATTGTATTTTTCAAACGGAACTGTAAAATTTCGATGTGTTTTAAAATAAATTATTTTAAAAATGTTTTAGAATCAAGATTCTGAAAGATTTCACAAGTTTCTGATTCCAAAACAAAAAGCAAACGTCCGATGAAACATCTGATTGTTCGACCCCTATAAAATTCTCGTCTTCTTTTATGTTTGTAATAACTTCAACACGCTCGATTTTGTAACATGGTTCAACTACTTAATATCCATTCAAGTGGAGAAAAAAAACAAATAAAAATACTCACACCTGAAAATTCTCCTTTACCTAAAGGTTTTGTCCTCCATATAACGAATGATTAATCAAACAAATTCATCCCTCTCTTACTTTTTAAATTGTCCAATGTGGAACGAGCTGAACTAGAAAGAAACAAGACAATTACTTGTTTTATATACCTAAATGGAGTGTAAAAGTTAAAAACCGATCTCAAAAGAAAAAGAAAATAAATGTAGTGATTCACAATTTGACCATAAAATCAATAACCGAAAAAATTAGTGCAATTCTCTCAAATAGTCTTCTTTTAAGTTTTTATTACAAAAAAAAACTTCAAAAATTAAAATGACTAAAATAACATTTTTTATTTTGAAAATTTTAAGTTTTTTTATTTTTTAAAATTTGAAAGTATATTCCCAAAACTCACTCTTCAACTCTAAATAAAAAAAGTTTAGTAGGAATATTAGTTAACCCAAAGGGTATAAATATTTAATAAAAAATTTAAGTATTATTTTGGTTATTTTAATTGTTAACATCTATATTTGTGATAAAAAAAAATTTGTGTCTATCCTAGTCATTTTCTCAAAAAAAAGAAAAATATAAAAAAATTGCTAATTAAAATTAAACAAAATAAAAAACCGAATTAAAGCAGGACATTAATATGCAACCTTCCCTTCAACGCAACACTTCTCTTTCCCTTTTCCTCTCAACACCAAACCAAACCTCTCCTTCCTCTCTCTCACCATCTCTCCCCACTAAAACACTTCCTTCCTTCAAAAAACCTATGGATAAGAAACACGGCTTGTTCTCCAAGTCACACTCCCGCCGATCACGCTCCAAGAGCCCCGTCCGAGCCGTCTCTCCCATCATCATCCGCCGCCGCAAAGGCCGCTACGTCTCGCAGCCCGACCGCCACGTCTCCGAGATGCTTCCTCCGGTCATAGAAGGTCCCGATCCGGACGGAGATGACTCCGGAGCCAGCGGCGACTACTCTAAGCTCGAGAGACGCTGGTACAACTGGATGAAGTGTCAGCTCCCTGTTGCTCCGCCGTCTGTTTCCTCTTCCTCCGGCTTCAAACGCACGGATCTGAGGCTTCTCCTCGGTGTTCTCGGCGCGCCGTTAGGTCCTGTACACGTCACTCCTCTGGATCTCCTTCCTCACCTCAGCGTCAAGAACACTCCCATGGTGAGGCTCTAATTCAAACTGTGTTTAATATTATTGGGCCTGGAGGCCCATTTATCAGCCTATTGGAGGCCCATTTATCAGCCTATTGGATCTTAACAAATATTTACTGTGTTTTTTTTTTGGTTTTTTCAGGAAACCTCCTCTGCGCAGTATATACTTCAGCAGTATACAGCTGCATCAGGTGGTCATAAGCTTCACAGCTCAGTTCAGAATGGTTACGTGATGGGGAGGATAAGGACGGTGGCGTCGGAGTTTGAGACGGGGTCAAAGGGTTCGAAGAGTAAGAACAATTCGTCTAAAGCTGTTGAGTCTGGAGGGTTTGTGTTGTGGCATATGAGTCCTGACATGTGGTACATGGAGCTTGTTCTTGGTGGGAGTAAGGTTTTAGCGGGTTGTGATGGGAAGCTTGTGTGGAGACACACACCTTGGCTTGGTCCTCATGCGGCTAAAGGTCCCGTTAGACCATTACGACGCGCTCTTCAGGTAAGGACTAGTATGATGTTTTTTTTTTTTTTTTGCTTGAGTTATTGAAAGTGTGTGTGTTTTCAGGGACTTGATCCGAGAACAACAGCGAATATGTTCGCGAGTGCAAGGTGCATAGGAGAGAAGAAGATAGATGGAGAAGATTGTTTCATTCTCAAGCTATGTGCAGACCCGGCAACACTTAGAGCTAGAAGTGAAGGTGCATCAGAGACTATAAGACATACTTTGTTTGGTTACTTCAGTCAAAAGACTGGTCTTCTTGTTCACTTAGAAGACTCACAGCTAACCAGGATCCAGAACATTGGTGGTGAAGCGGTTTACTGGGAGACGACTATTAACTCGTACTTAGAAGACTACAAGCCTGTTGAAGGGATTGTGATAGCTCACTCTGGTAGATCAGTGGCGACGCTGCTAAGGTTTGGAGATATGTCGTCAGGACATAACACAAAGACTACAATGCAAGAAGCGTGGGTGATCGATGAGATTGCGTTCAATGTCCCTGGTTTGTCTATGGATTGTTTCATTCCACCTTCTGAACTCAGGTTCGATTCCCAGGTTGATGAGTTGTCTCAAGGCCCCAAGATTAAGACATTGCAGCAGGGTTCAGTAGCTACTCGACATAATTATGGATGATGCCATAAAGAAGCTTGGGGGGTGCAGGAGATCAATGTGTATAAAAACATTCAAATAGAAACACCTAGATCGATTATTCTAGTACTTTGCTATTGTTGAAGCTATAAATTCTTGTAGGAAGTTTCGTTGAAGAAAATGTAAATAAAGCGCAGGAGAATATGCATAGACTCTATTCGAGGGTTATTTTTCATTATCAACTTAGTTAGTGAGTCCAATTTTTATTTTGATAATATAGTTTCAGTCTTTCAATGATAGAAGCAGCCATGTATTGTATAAATGTTTTGTTATCTTTGTTTAGTATAGTGATCGGATTAAATAGTATACTCTTATGCAGCACAAATAGAGTAACCATTCATTGTATAAGATCAACAATGACTGGATTCATTATTGTCAATGTTGTAAAAGTCGTTTGACTGTTTATAGAGAATTATTGTTTAGCCAGGCAAGCCGATTTTGTTAACGCCTACATCGCTTTGAAAAAATGTTTCGTTCATACCTATTTGTCGACTAGCGGACACCGCCAACACTGATTATTGCTCATTGACATTTTTTGTGTGCGGTTAAGCGGACATGGCAAATACTAGGAAGAAAACACTAGTTTACTGTAATAACCGGTTAAAAAAAAAACAAACGGACGAAGGTTCATAAATAGCGGTTTAGATTTAACCGGTATGGCTTAAACAACTTGACTTTCACATTAATTGTTCTTTTGCTCAACAGCGCATTGAAGCAGGAAGCAATCTATAGCAGGTTCACAAACAAAACGAAGGTAATCCTCCTCGCTTCACTCAAATTCACCGCTACTAATCGATTCCTTAATCACTTACCATTCTCTTTCTCGTTGTGAAGAAAATAATGGTGCTCTCTGACTTCACTGGAGTCGGTGTTGGATTCGGTATTACCTACTCCCAAATTGCTTCTTCTCTTTATTCATTTATTTTTCAATTCGACTCGTAATTATGTTATTATTTTATGGAATTTATAGGGTTCGGCGTTGGCTGTGGATTTGGCGTTGGTTGGGGTTTTGGAGGTTCGTTTCACAATTTCTCTCTGAAATTTTTACTAACAGTAGATTTTACTAAGCTGAGGACGGGATTATAAATCAGTTATAATCGGTAGGTTATAGATGGAATGATCAAAGATACAATGCCTATTTTTGACTTCTTATAGACTTCGTTAGCATTTAGGAAAGCTGAGATCAAAATCAAACCAATACTTAGATTCTTATCCATTGAGAACAGATACTCTGTCTATGTGCTGTACAATGTACCATGCTCTCTTTAGTTTCATGATCATATTCCAAAATGTTTCAGTAGCTCTGTATACTTGCTAATCCGTACTTTCTTGGTGGTGCTTATCTGATGGTGTACTTATGCCTAGAGTCAGTCCTTGCTAGTGACGACACTAACATGCACACGCAGACATTGATATGTATCAGTGCGTACTGAATTGGAGATTTTATGTTGTTGCTTTTCTTGCAGGAGTGCCTTTGAATGTTTTAGGCGTTGGTGTAGGTAAGCATTTTAATACATATATTTGCTTCTGTATATTTCTTCTCTACACAACAAGCGCATGATAATGCTTATCTGTTTTGAAGGTGGAGGTTGCGGAGTGGGTTTAGGGCTCGGCTGGGGTTTTGGAACTGCCTTTGGCAGTCACTACCGATCATCTAGGCTTACATTTCAAGGCGTCGAGCTAGAGAAAGAGGGTAAGGTGGATAACATGTCCAAAAATGCTTAGCCGCCTCTCGTGTGCTTTCAACATTGTAAGTCTGGAACTTTCCAAATCACTGAGAAAAACTCCGCTCGGAAGTATTGTATTAAGAAAACAATGTTTGACATTTTTCTTATTTCTCAATAATAAGAATAATTTCAAATAATCAAATCAAGAATGCATTTCTGTATTACAAAACATCCATTTTCACAATGTTCCAAAACTAGAATGTTGTTTACTCGAATTGCTTTTGTAAATACTCGAACCAAAATATGCATTTCTATGTTACAAGAGAATCAAACTCAGTGATATTACTACTGTACATTAAAGATGTAGACGTTGCCAAATCAGTCTCATGCGCAACCTGTTTACACAGAAGATGAATAAACTCTCCAGCGTCGTATTCATACATGCCTTCTACATTGCTTTTGTTGCGACTACCACTGCAATGACAAAATAAGCCAATCTCAAATGCAAGCTTAACTTGCAGAGGGAAGAAATTTCGGTTTAGTAGATATTACCTATAAGAAAAAGTAAAAGAAGAATCCAAATTACAGCTTGGACAGTTTTACTATATCTCATTCGATACTGAGACCGTTGAAGTTGCCTCTGTATAGCTCCATACCAACCGTGAAGCTGAAGCTGCTTCTCGTAACAGTCCTCCTCACACTCCATACCACTTTTGTCCCTCTCAAGACACATAGCTTTCTGAGAAACATAAGAAAGCCATTTAGTATAATGGTTTGTAAGCAGGAGGAAAAAATGTGGAGATCTTACTTGGTTCGAGTGGATAGGCAATAACAACACAGCATCAGAGTCTCCTTGAGAATCCAACGCCTTCCAGGTTCCATAAAATTCAAGAAGCCAGAGACGCTAGGAACTTTCCTTGGAGGTCGAACCGGTGGCTCACGAGAAGATTTCTTCAATAAACCTTCATCATCAGAAACCGGAATGTTCCAAGCACCAATGTCAGGAGTAGCACTAGCCGTCCTCCTATGACCATGTTGCTTCGTTTCTTGAAGCTGTTTCTTTTCAGACGCAGAAGATCCAGACAAGAAGAGGGCAAGCTCGTTACGATCATCTTCGTCCAAACGCACCCATCTGGGAGTTCCTTTCCCACCATCAGCTTCCTTGAGAGATTTCTCTATCTTCGCAACTTGTGTCTCCATTACGGAAGTAAACTCGCGATGCCTGTCTCGTGTTTCGTTACTCAAACGGTTGTTATAGCTAGATTGAACCGCTCTTTGAAATTCATCTAACTGAAGCAGCAAAAAAGATACAGATTCACTTGAAGAAATAAATAAACAACATTACACAACAATAACATACAAAAATAGAATCAAAGTTTGTTATAAAATAAACAACACAGAGAAGGGGATAAGGAAAGAAAAGAACCTGCCACTTGGTGGTTCCAAGAGCAGCGTGAAGGTCTCTGTGAAGCTGATCAGAGTCCCATACATTCGAAGAGCCTCGCTTGATCCATGTCCTGTAAGCTGACTCCATCCTGCCACATTCATTGTGTGAATTAACAGATCTAAAAATAGAATATGAGAATCCAAAATTCCTAAACAGGAATCAACATTGCATCACGAAGAATAATGAGAGAAATATTTACTATTATGATGAGGGGAAAAGAATGAAAGGGAACCTGTCAGCAGATTCCTGAACTTCTTCAGCAGCAGCAAAGAAAGGATCCTTCTCCCACCGATCCAAACTCGTCGTCATATCTTGAAGATAAAAATAAACCTAAGGGAATGATAATAAATCTTTGAAGAAACAGAAACACAGAAAAGAAAGCGACAGAGAGATTTGGAATATGGGGGAAATGAGACGATGAATCGAAGAGAGGAACGTTCGTTCTTGGAATATCCAAATTGATTACCGCCTTTCGTTACACGCACGTGCCATAGTACGTTTGGTTTGCTTTTTAAAGATAGCACAAAACAACTTTTCAGGTAGATGATACATAGTCCATGTACAAATACAAATACAAATACAAGCAAGGGTGGTCGCAATATAAGCAAACAGAAACATAATCTATACTATTATTTGCGAAGTGATTTTTCGCAACGGAGCTCTCATGTTAAAAGTTGGAGTGGTTAATATCGATTATACCCTTAATGAAATTTTTATATATAACTACCTTTATAATTAAAAATGAAATTTAAAAAATAAAATTAGATTAGTATGTTATTATGTTAGATAGCTTAGAATAATTAATATAATAAGTTTATAAAAAAAGCAAAAATAAGATAACTCTTATATATGTCATTATCATCTAAATATAATATTGTAACAATATGATAATGCTTATATATCTTAATTTTATATATACTTGATTTTGACTTTTGAAAATAATATCATTCTATTATAATTTAAAATTTAAATTCAAAAATCGATTTTAATTAAATATTAATCAAACAAAAACATTTGTATAAAGATACTTTTAATTAAATATTAGATATTAAAAATTGGAACGTTCCAAGTTAATGATACCTTTAGTGAAATTTATATATTTATATATAAATTAGTTAAAAAAGAATTTTATGTTAGTGATAGAAATTTATATGTTATTATATTAGTTAATTTATTAAAAAATTAATAGGATAATTATCCACATTCATGCATATTTAAAACATAAGATATCTTAGAGAATATTATACAGTTATCTGGAAATAATATTTTTTATTATGAAAAATAAAAATTTAGTTATAAAACAATTTACTTATATATCTTAATTTTATATATAATTGATTTTGACTTTTGAAAATAATATCATTCTATTATAAAATTTAAAAATTTAAAATTTAAAATTTAAATTCAAAAATTGATTTTAATTAAATATTAATCAAACAAAAATATTTGTATAAAGATACTTTTAATTAAATATTAGATATTAAAATTTGGAACGTTTCAAGTTAATGATACCTTTAGTGAAATTTATATATTTATATATAAATTAATTAAAAGAGAATTTTATGTTAGTGATAGAAATTTATATGTTATTATATTAGTTAATTTATTAAAAAATTAATAGGATAATTATCCACATTCATGCATATTTAAAACATAAGATATCTTAGAGAATATTATACAGTTATCTGTAAATAATATTTTTATTATGAAAAATAAAAATTTAGTTATAAAACAATTTAAAATTAAATATTAAAAATATAAATATATTTTCAAAATATTTTAGTATGTGGATGTTTTTCAACACTATAATAAGCATATAGATTTTGATGAATGTTCATATAAAATATTTAATGTTTGATTTAGGTTTTTTAAAACTATAAAAAATAACTTATAATATTATTTTAAAATTAATAAAATAATAAATAACAAATAACAAATATTCATAAGAAAATTATGCCCGCATGTGCGGGCACAACACCTAGTAAAACTTTAATTACACTGTGGCTCCGCCACTAACTATTATTAAGAAATTTGTTCCTTTTGAAAAAGTAGCATTTAATTTATGATTTCAGCCAATTATAAAAAAAACTAACATTATTCCATTGGTTAAAGAATGTCTAATAAGTATAAAAGTTGTATTGAAATGTGAAATTTGTTTATATTTTGAAACAAACAAATTCCTCTAAAATTATATTAAAGTTCTACAATGTTAAAAGCCTCTTAAAAACAGTTACAATCATTTTTTTTTTTTGTTCACTGATAAATGGGCTTTTCTGAAGCCTACATAGATTTTCTAAGAGTATTTAAAAGCCCAAAATCAAAAGTCATTGGATTAGTCCCTAATCCACAGATTATTATTTTAATCTCTTACACTCCTCCATAATCGAATGGATTTCATCAGCATGGCCAATTCGATTTCAAGTCTAGGGTTCTTCTCCACATGATCATCATTGATCATTAGCTCGTCGAATTCTTCTTTCAATCAGCTTCTCCGATCATAATAAGCTTAGGTCTCTTTCTTCGTCTCTGCTTTTGGTTTAGAGGAGAACAAATCGTCTTCTCCAATCAATATATTGAGCGTTCGTTTCTATGATTTTTTGAGCATCATGCTTGCTTAGCTTATCGTTTTTTCAAATTTCAGGGTAAAAACATGGTGCAGATCTATTCTCTCTGTGGAAAATGGAAACGAAATGAAAAATCTCAACTGGAGTTTGTACTAGACACCTACAAATTTGCATCATTCTCTGAGATTGATGAAAACGTTACTTACAAGGATTTTCTTGAGATGGTTATCGAAGATTTGAGTATCGACTCTCAAGACATTGCACTCAGATATGAACTTCCATCGAGTACTGAATCCAAGTCTCCACCAGTCGATATTAGAAATCATCGCCAACTAACAACTTTCTTCAACAAGGTCAAAGAAAATAGTAGTGAACTCATTCCTTTGTGTGTAACCGTAAGTAATCAAATGGAATTTTCCAGTTGTTTGTATTATGCAATTTTTGTTATATTAAATATTTTTGTTCATTTGGTTTTAGGTGAATGACAAAGTCAACATGATTGCTCTTGAGAATGTTGGTACCAACATAGAGTCAAAGACCATACACAGTGGAGATAATCATTCATATGTAGATGAATCTAGTGAGCCTGAAAAACAACAGGTAACATAACATTTATAATTTTTTTCCTCACACTACTTGTATAATTTTAAGTCTATTATTTCTCTTCATAGGAACTTCATGGATCAATTGAGAGTAATAACATCATGTCAGATTCTGAAGCGCACAACGACAGATATGAAGAAGGAAACCATCCATTTCGTTTTCATCCTATTCTAGCTCCTTGTCCAATCTCTGTTGAATATTCATACTCTACTAGAGACTCTGATGGTTTACATGTGAACCAACGTTTCAAGAACAAGCAAGAGTTGATGTTAAAGATGAGAAAATGGGCGTTGGAGTGGAAGTTTGAGTTTAGATCTCTTTACTCAGACAAATCAAGAGTGGTGTTAGTGTGCGTGGACGATAAATGCACCTGGAGGATGCGTGCAACTAAGATTAATTCTTCTTCCGACGTCTTTGTGGTTAAGAGATATGTTCATGAGCATACTTGTGATACAACGGGGAAAAGTGTTAACCATAAGCAAGCAACTGCGAAATTGGTTGGGACTTTGATATGCAATAACAATGGAGAGGGAAAGGATGGTCTCAAACCGAAACAGATTATCGAGCAAGTCAGAAAAGAACATGGTATTGAGATCACGTATGGAAAGGCTTGGAGAGCAAAAGAGCAAGTCGAGAATTTGATGAGAGGGACTCATGGTTCTGAAATTGAAGTCTTATGTTCACCTAATAAGCAAAGTAATGTGAGATCAACGAGAAAGAGAATGCGATCAGCTGGTGGGTCACATAAATGCAGCAAATGTGGTAGAGAAGGACACCATAAGAATACATGTGACATCCCCTGTATGATGAACTTTCTCTGTATACATTTATTTTATTGTTATTGTGTGAAGTTGATTACTGTTTTTAGTAATACATTTATATCTTTTGCAGCAGCTGTAGAAGAGGAGAGCACCCAAATCCCAATGGTGCCCACATAGGTTCAGTATGCTGAAAGTTTAAGGAGATTTTCCCTATTAAACACTACAAGTATTGTTTTTAGTTTTCTTTGGTTCTGACCATGTCTTGATTAACATAGAAAGGCACTTTAAATTTTACAACTGTTATGAGAGTGTATGTTTCTTTAAGTGTGTGTGGTTGGTAAACTGCTAGTAAGCAAGTAGAAGGAAGAATCAAAAACAAATGGACGTTGGATATGCTTAAGAATTTGATTATTGCGAAATTTAAAAACAGAGTTGTAGCTAGTTGATATGATTTTTTTATTCAAATAAAAGTCTATAACTCAAAAGTTTCTGACATATATCGATTCAAATAATGAGACAAAAGAATGAGTCCTAACAAGAATTGTAATGAATCAAAAGTCGAAATTTGTATGTACAGTCAACAAATTCCTAAAAATAATTCAAAACATAACAAATCAAAGTTTCTCCGAGAAGTCAAAACGTGGCTTCTTCGCCGGCATGGGACTCATCACTTCCTCGTCTCCGTTAACAAACGAGAACTCCGGTATCGGAGGGATATTAAGGTCAAACCCACGGTGACTAACGCTGACGTGGCTTGTGGACCCCACTCCTTCAGAGTTAGACACGCTACTAGTGTTGTTATTATTATTCCCTTCGTAGTGGCACCTCTTGTGTCCTCCAAGAGCTTGTCCTGAAGGAAAAGACTTGTTACAGATCGTGCAAACGTGCGACTTCCCACTCCCGGTTGTCACGGCGGACGTGGTGGTCGCCGCCGACGTGGATTGATCATCTCCTCCGCCGCCGGATTGAGTCTGTGACAAGTTTTTCCTGTGGCTCGCCTTGTGTCCGCCCAGAGCTTGGTAAGACGAGAAAGACTTGTCGCAGACGCTGCACTTGTAAGTCAACGAAGACGACTTCTCAGCTACCACGGGAGGGAGAGGAAGAGGCTGACGGTTGCTGCGGTTACCGTCGCGAGCGAGAAGCAAGAGGCAGAAGGCGAGATACTCTTCTTCCGTGAGGTTTTGTTGGTTGAAATCGGATCTTGATCTTTTTGAACGTTTGCCTTTGGTCCAGTGTTCGACTCCATGGAATCTTGAAGAGTCTTCGAACAGAGGAGGGACTGGTGAAGGTAGTCTTGGTGAACTAAGAGCCTCGAGTGCCATGATTTGATAAAAGAATGAAGATTTTTAATATGAGAATATGAGGTTTCTTGTGATGGGTTTGAGTATGGAAGAATTATTGTTGGAGATGAAGAGAAGAGAGAGTAGTGAATAAATATATAGTAGGTGAAGTGTGGGGGGAGAGGAAGTTGCGTGACAAGTGGTGGGAAAGTGTGATGAGTGAAGGTGGCGATTAGATAATTAATTAAATATGTGCGGACCAGAGTTGTGAGAGAAGTATCTTCTTACATGTTTTTTTTTTTTTGGGCACGTTTGGTTTGACTTAGTACACGTGTGGAAAGAGTGGTGAGAAGAGGTCCTTAACTAGAGTTTCTGTTTTTGATATGGTCTTAGTCATGGTCATACTATCCTACACGTTATGGTTTCCTTAACTACTAAACTAGTTGACAAAAACAAACATAACAGTTGTAACCACTAACCAATATTGATTTGGAAAGCTTTAGTCCTTTCTTGGAAAAATATCTACGCGTAAGATTCATTTGAAACGGACAAAAGAGTTATAGTAGAGTCTCAGTGGAATTAAATTATTATTTTTCGCTAACTTAAATCTCTATTCAAGCAATATGTATTATGTATATGCTTAAACAGGTAGGAGTGGATAAGCAGCTTTGACCAGTATACATATTGAAAAGGTGGAGATAGGAAGTTACAAAGGAGAGGCTGAGACGGTGCATGAATAAAGATTTGAGAAGACTATTCCAAGTCAAAATCCAAAATAAGAATAAAAGAATATTTAATTGGAACGAACCAACTTGTTTGGTCCAACTTGTTATTATGGAAACTTACTACATTTGACTAAAACAAAAAAAAGAACCATCGTCAATCTTTGTAATTTCTTCACGCGGCGATCTTCAAACCGTTCGGTTTATTTTTTATTAATAATTGACGGTAACAATTAACCGGATGATGGCATTTGAGTAGTGGTCTAAATATGTAGTCGGAAGATATATATGGACTTCAAAATTCAGATTGAAATGTTGAAAACAACGGATAATGATCGACGTGTATAGGTTTATACTGTATGAACGTGTCGCTTACTCTAGGTTGACTGACTACATACAAATAATCTCACAATAAACTATAGTTTTGTCGGTATTTTGGTTTTCTCAGTCTGGAAGTGTGGGCCACAACTTATGATGTTGTCACGTTTTGTTCATGTTATTGGGTGTGCTTTCTTAGTTACACTGGAACCAAACAAATTGACAACAATAGAACTCACAATAGAAGGCTATTAGATTAGTCATCTAAGGATAAGCAATCTGAACCCATCTGATAAGAGGATCATTTTCTAATCATGAAATTGTGGAACATGCATCTCTGGAAACTAGGTATGGAGATGGCTAGACTTGTCTGGATCGTCTTTCTTGAAAAAAAATATGAACACTCTTTCTTTCTAATTTTTTTTTGTAACTGTTCTAAAAAGTTTGTTGAGTTAAAATTTGGAGTCACTCTACATTTTTGTTTTTGTTTTTTTTTTTCTTTTCTTTTCTTTTGTTTTTGTAAAAAGGCTTCATTCTACATTTTGCTAACACGTTATCCTTATAATCTGATTTTATATAATGCGTCAATATATATATGTATAATATAGCTACTAGCTGCTGTAATCATGATACTGTTGATTTACTTTTCAGCCGAAATATGGTTTAAATTGATTATAACGCAGGTAAAAAAATTGTGGTTTAACAAAGTCTTCATGTGGTATGGTATGCATCCCTGTTTTGAATGGTTTTAGATTCAGGTTCGAACAGCGCATGGGACACATGCATGTGATCTTATAAAACAAGAAAAGCAAAAGCTATTTGTGTTTGTGTATAAAGGAAAACTTGAAACTCGTGACTTGTGAGGCAGATATGTGTGATGCACAATACAAAAAAAATGTATTTATCGGCGTGTCATCATGCATGACGCATTGCCTACTGGAAAAAGCAAAACTCACACTAAACTTCCAACCTCTACCTTGTAAAGACAAACTCAAAGTGATTCTTCTAACTCCACTATTTATTCTTTGGTTGGTGTTTGGTGCCTAATTTTTTTTTTCTGGATAGTTTGACTTAATTGAGAGAAGTTGAGATGAGAAGAAAAAGAGAAGTTGAAATGAAACTTGGAAAACATATACTTTTTGGTTAATTAAAAGATGAGTGGACGCTTTATCATACAGTGGAGTTATTCTTTGGGCAATGTGAGTTGGGTTTGGATGTTTGGGTCTATTCGGGCTCACTCTTATTTTCTTTGGTCAGCCCTTATTGATTACTTTCTTTTCTTATGTAAGTATTTGTTTGGTGTTCAAAAAAAATGTAGGTGTATTTGTTTTTGAGGATAAAGCCTTGCAGTTTTATTTCATGTCAGCAACGTTACTAAAATTTGCTATGAAGTTTGAACACTTGAGAACGCAGGTTCATTTTTGTGTAAATCAAAGATTCAAAACTCTGGTTTACTCAAAAAAAAAACGTAAGTTTTCATAAACCAAGGAAACCCTAACTGTAACTCCCAAAACCTTGGTCAGGTAAGACTATAAATGTTGTATCAGCATCAGTTTCATTTGTCGTCTGATGTGTAACTTTTGGTGGTTGTTTGTTTCATTGAGTAGATGTCATCTCTGTCTTTATGAAGAAACATAATGATAGAGATTGTGAGAAATCAAGATTCTATAGGAAGCACGGTTAGAGCTTGAGTAAGACGTTTCTATGGATTGGGGAGAGTATTTTTCTGCTAATATGGCTTTTGGTCCACCACAACACCGCCCTACTTACATTTTCTTTTTGAAGCTATTACAATTTTTTTACTTTTACATTTAGAAGAATCAAATATTTCTATACAAAGTGTAAGCATCACTGACATTTAAAAGAACTAAATATTTACATATGAAGATTATGCATCACTTCATAACCAAAAGATAAAGTAGAAAAATAAAGTTACTTATTATTTCAATCAATTAATCAATAGTTAATCATACCTTATTTTTTTCAAGCTCAATAGTTTATTACACAATATCTTAAAATACATCATCCCATTTGAGAAGCTAACTTCAATTATATACGTCACGAAGAAAAGTCAAACACTTTAATGTCGGAGGTATAATTAACTGATTGATTGTTAACAGATAACAAGTAAACGCTGCTAAAAATACCGACTTTCATTTTAATTTGAAGAAGTGTAGTCTTATAATATGTATCACAAAGTTTTCTGATCACCTTACTTTATCATTTTATGTATTACGATATTTTTTAAAAGAATAGTATAATTAGTGGTTTCATCTTATTGTAGAGATGTGTACTAGTATCTTCAACCAAATGTAACAGTTATATGTGTAGTACTATTCGGCGTATTCGAAGTATCAGTTAATCAACGAAACTTACAGTATGTTACATAGTTAATGTACCTTCAGTTTATCATATTATAATATCAGACCACAAGTACTAAGGTTCTAAATAATTTATTTCCCACCAATTTGATGGAATTCGAATACATAGACATTCTGAATCTAAGAGAGACAAGAAAACCAGCAGTGATCATGGCACAACATTTACTTTCCTTTTTATTTATTTAACATGCATGCCAAAAACAATAAGCCGGAGAATATCATTTCATTTGGTGTGATTATATCTTTAAGAGTATCAAAAAGGGTATAATGTAAATGACACATTCCATGAACCCGTGTGTTTATGCACTGACTTCGGAAATTAGAGGAGTAATAATCAGTTTCAGAAGGCATTAACAGGTAGGCAAATCCGTTAGGTGCATTGTACATTAACCCCTCCTGTACTTTTGAAACTTAGCGACAACTTAACATATCTTCAAGCTGTGATTTCAATAAATTTATTTTAAAGTTATGGAGATTTTATGTGGTGATGATCTTAAGACAAACGAATGAGTTTGAATCTCATCTTGTCGGAATCTCCAACTCTATTTCGTGCCGTCCTAATATTGTTAAATATGTTTATTTATCTTTTATCCGATGTACATACCTAACTTGATGACTTTCTATAACTCTTAAGACAATTTGCCTCCCAGCCCTTTTAAAAAGACAGGAAGCTCAGATAACCTTTTAAAGTTACTAAAGAGTCAACTATAATACGTACAAATTAGCTCATTCTTTTGGAATGCCCATAACAAGGTTAACTAATGTATACTATATTCAAGGGGTTCATATAAACTTATAACATAACGTGTTGAATTTTCGTCTTATTTGCATCTAAAAAATGTTAAGTTCTTCCAGTGGACGGTACCTAATGTATAAATTAAATACAAAGTTCCTGTACTTTATGTTTTATTTTCACACCTTCTTTAGTTTAGTTTTGTTTTCTAATGGTTTAATTCAGCACAAAATTGAAAACATACAAACATGAATAATAACATTTTCGCATTGACAGTAAGATAGATGTTTAACGCAAATTCAGTCATTTGATGAATCATATTAGTAATCGTATCCTTTACAAGTATACTTTTGAGTTCCAGTTTTGTATTCTGAACTAACTCATAAATGACACTTGCAAGAAAATATGCAATATATAAACTATATATATGCTGCTAACTTTGATATATGAAAGTAAAATCGGATTTATATCAACTGAAATTATGTTTATCCGTGTGCTGCTAATTTTCCATGTATGCAACTGATCATTGTGTCTTAAAAACAAAGTTGACTAGGATGAACACTCTTGATCTAAAGTATTATTATTTACTACCTAAATTATGGAAAACACAATACAATCATTGATTTTAAAGTAATAATAAAAAATTAGATAACGAAAACAATACCTACAAGTTACAAGCATAATGGTACGATTAAGTTCTTCAATAGTGTATTCTATAACAATTTCTAGGCAGAAACAGTATAAATTTGAATCATTCTTACTAGTGAGATGAGTTTTTTCTTATATATTATCCATAACAAAAAAAAAAGCTCACAGCTTCAACCAAATAAGTTATAGACGTCGGATATATCATGCTGCATCTTCTCCTGAAAAACAAATTAGCCAAGAGAGACCTAAAAGACGATTAGTAATTTAAGGTTTAATACGGCATGGATTAAAAAGTTTCTTTTATTTTACTAGTTCTTTTAGTGTTGTTCAAGTTG